TAATTTTCCATGCAACTTGACAAAAAGGAATATGACAAGTTCTATCTCAGCTCGCAATCAGGCAAGACAGGGCTGTGTTTGTCCTTGCTGACCCAGGGGACCGAGGAGCCAATTAAAACTCCTTCTCCTATTTCATGCTGTGGTGGTGGAATCAACACAGAGATGGAGAGCAGCCCCAGTGCATGCGGGGTGAAGGCACTGGGGCTTCCTGGCTGGTGTGGGTTTGGGGGAGACCGCCCGGATCAGCCCCCTTTAACACTTTGTAGGTTGTCAAATGAYGGCATTTCTGTCACACAAAGTGTCCTAAATGTGGCAGACTCTGGGAAATCCTCTGGATTCACTGGCACAGGATGGCTGAAGCTTCTTGAAGCCTGTAGACCCTTTTCCCAAGGAATTCCCATKACCGGGGCATTCAGAGGATCTCTCTTCTTGGTGTTCGTGTAAAGGCAGGTTCAGGTTTTGTGGGGTGTGAAATTTGACTAACTTGAAGAGTCCTTCTTAAGATGAAGGTTACATGATTATAAATGTATGAAAAGAATGTTTATTTGAAACAAAAATACATGAAAGAAAACTTTAAGTGAATAAATCCCACCAATGTCAAAACACYAGAAAAGAAGCCATCCTTTTAAATGAAATATGCCTATATGGGAAGTTTTTCCCTATTTTTTTTCCCCTGCAAATTCCCTTATAGCTTCATTATAAGGCATGAAATTTTGTGATGTTTTCTGTAGAAAAAAAAGATAATTCCTTCTTAGAGCATGAATGATTGAAGTTTTGATTTTTATTTTTATAGTTGAGAAATGTTCTATTTCACTGCTGCGGTGGGTTGGATAAGTTTTGCACAAAGGTCTGTGTGTTAATGGCTTGGTGCCCAGGGTGGCACTGTTGGGAGGTGGTGAAACCGTTAGGAAGTGGAACCTAATGGGAAGTCCTTAGGTCACTGGGAGCATGCTCTCAAAGGGGATCATGGGACCAGGGCTTCGTCCTTTATTTCTCTTTCTTCCTGGCTCATGAGGTGAGCCATTTGCTCTATTACATATTCCCCACCATTACCATCTGGTATGCCCACTAAAGGCCCAAAACAATGGGTCTACCAGATCTTGCACTGAAACTTTTTAGCACTGTGAGACAAAATATACCTTTTTTTCCCCTTTATTAGTTGCTTATCTCAGGTATTTCATTRTAGTGATGGAAATCTGACTCACTACTATTCATTATTGGTAGTTTCTCCAATGTACCGTCAGTATAACTTTTGAGATGATTTGATTTTGGAGAAACTCTTACCCATTTCTTTCATGTTTGAGCTTTTAAGATTTCAGAACATTTTGGTGAGGGATGTTGGTGTGCATGTGCCTTTGCATGTATGCACATGCTCAATATCTTCTTCTTCAATGTTTGAATTGATGAATTTGTTAATCATTGCATCTTCAGTTTTATCCTGTCCCTGCATGTTGGTGTCAGCCTGGTGAGAGGTGGAACTATTACTGGAAGTCATTCCTACTGAAACTGTTGTAATAATTTAATCAGACACAGACGTGACTGTAGGCTACACAAATACATTCTACTAAGTAAACATGACTCCTAGAGAGTTCTCCTTAGCTAGATCMCAGGATTCCCACAGCCATTCCTTTTGTTWCCCAATTCAAGGGGAAATGTGATGGAGAAAGATAATAATTTTAACTGATTTGCATTCAAATAACCAGTTTTGCAAACTTTAAAAAAATAATACACGACCATGTGACTGTGTCAGGAGGGCCTTCCCCAGGGCTTTGAAAGGGCCCTGTGTAAGCAAGGAGCCCTTCACACATATGCCTTAATAGCTCTATGTTAAATCTACCTATGAAGACATACTCTAATTGAAGTAGGTCTACTTCCTTGGCTGGTGGCATGCTAAGCTTCTGCTTGGTCATCACAAACCGTTGAGAAGTGACTGGGATTGCAGTCCAACCCACTTGCCCAGTGTTCTCTCAACTTAAAAATCTTACCAGTTCTGAATTATATTTACTCCAACCTTCATGCAGTAGATGAAGAAGAACTAAGCTTTTAGGTTTGCTCTAACTTAAAAGGTTTGGGTGTGACTTTTCTATATATAGTAGAGAGGGCTTTTCTTAGGTCATCTAAGTTCTTCATGCACATAAATAGTTTGAATCATTATGTCAGAACCATGTTGACAGCCAAACCTCTTGCAGTCCCACAAAATGAATACTGTGTTGGACAGAGGAGTGATGAGCTTGTTTGGTATCCTCCCTGGAATGTGGTCTTGGCCTTGAAGTTTTATGACAACCTGACAGGCATGAGCTACAGTGCTCCTTGTAGTATCTCATGGGTGTGGGGTAGAGGTTGGAGCAACCCATGAAGTACTGGGCCTTGGGCCTCTGCAGGTCCAGGTCCAGGCACAGAGTACTTCATCTGGGTGACACTGTTGGCTCCTGACCAGTCTTAGGTACTGGATAAGGACTTAGAGAATTTTGAGGAAGGCACTCCAAAGCACAGGGTCCCCTGAAGTGTCCCTACCTGGGTATAAGGACAGTGCTGATGGAGTGGTGGCAGGACCCTTTTCCTTTTCTAACAATGACTGTGAAACGTACAAAGATGGAATCTACTATAAAAGTTGAATTTTCCCTGGAATTGTTCACTGCCATTTTAACCACTTATATTTTAAAAATGATTTTCTTAAAGAGTATAGAGATTGATTGGGCATGGTGGCTCATGCCTGTAATTTTAGGTACTGGGGAGACTGCGGTAGGAGAATTAAAAGTTCAAGAGCAGCCTCAGCAACTAAGTGAGACCCTGCCTCAAAATAAAAATAAGAAAGACTGGGGACGTAGCTTAGTGGCTTAGTGGCAAAGTATCCCTAGGTTTGATCCTCAGTACCAAAAGATATGGCAMATGAAAATAACAAAATAAAATAATAAATGAAAAAAAAGAGAGATCTGGGSATGTAGCTTACTAGTAGAGTAACCTTGGGTTCAATCCCCAGTACTGAAAATGTTAAAGTAGTATGGCAATTGAACATGAATTTTGTAAGAGTGGTTCCTGTGTTTAGTATTCAGTGATGAAATATGTTGATGTTTAATTCCTGGCTGTCTGCACCCTGTACTTCTAACATTATCTCCTTGGTGGGAGCTTGTCTCTACATTTCTGATATGAACTTCCTTTCCCATCGTCTTTATCTGTAGTCATCCCTGGATGTTAATTGTGAAATATTTGAAAGAATTAAAAACTCCGTGTCCATCTTTTTTCTTTTTGATTTAGGAAATAGGGATGATATTGGCGCATGGAAGCCAGTGGTGAGTGAGCCTGATTRCATCTCTCGGTTGCTATTCTTTTCCCTCCTTGTCTGGTGCTTTGCTCATTGGTCTCCCTCTTGCTCCAGCCCAGAGTACACCATTGGTTCTTACCTGTGATGGGGGAAGAGCACGTTTTATGAAAAATGCTTGGAGAAACTTACCTTGGAGAAAAGGAAGACACATACCCTTCAAATATCTGAAAACTCATGGTATGGAAGAGAAGAAGGCCTTATTCTCTGTGACCCCAAGCAGTAAAATTGGGCCCATGGGTAGAAATAAGAGGAAGATTCCAGCCCAGAGGAAAGAAAAACTATTATGTTTATCAGAAATGGAATGTGCTGTCTTGTAGTGACCCTTTGGCAAGTGTGTTAGGGATGGAAKCAGACATGGCTTGAATGGGGAGTTCATTCTTCTCTGACAAGTTGAAGCAAAGTATAAGAAAATCTGGTTAATATCCCAGGATTCCATAATATACTGACAGGGATGAAGCAGCCTTTCTGGGTGCTACCTTCTTCTCCTAGAGTCAAGTGGACCTTGCTTTTTGAAATTATACTCTGAGGCTTTGACTCTTATGTGTGGCCTCTGCTTTTATGTGGTAGTCCCTGTGTGCTCTGCTGCCATTCCCTCGCAAGAACCATTCTGTCTACTGATGTTGTCTCATCTTATGCTCCTGCTAATCATGGCCTCCACTCATGGTCCCTCTAGTCATCCCCTTGCCCAGGGCTCAGCTCATAAGTGTGTGGCTAAAGCCAGGAGCTGATATCTGGACTAGGTTAAGTCCTTTCCAATAGCTGTGATTTCATGCATCTACGACTCTTGCACATTTGGTTTGGAAGATCTCAGTATTTGTCTTGATTGGACAGTGAATCCCACTTGGGGAAGGATCATGAAATAATCTCACCACCATGCACCTCCTCTGTCTTTTCTCTTGTATAATCTTCATTGAATATCAAATTAGAGCAGAGTCTCAGGAAATGTATTTTGACCTGCTTGGTTGGATGAAACCTATCCTAACTTACTCTTGTCTTTTCCTCCTTTGTTCCTTTTTACCCCAACCCAATACCTTATTGCCATCAACAAGGTCACTGAGCAAAGCTTAGCTTCCCTACAGACTCTCAGATCAGAAGAGGGGGCCAGTCCTTCTTTGCATCCATGCCGTTCCCATTTGTTTCAATGATAAATTGTTTCTACTAAAAGAGAATATAAGTTTTATAGATTTGCATATTGCAGAATGTTTTGCTCTATGAAATATATTTTTWAAATCATTTAAAGAAAACTACAGGGGCTAGGGTTGTAGATCAGTGGTAGAGAGCTCGCCTAGCATGTGTGAGGCACTGGGTTTGATCCTCAGCACCACATAAAATAAATAAATAAATTTTAAAAATAAAGGTATTGTGTCCAGCTACGACTAAAAAAACCAAAATATTTAAAGAAGAAAAGAAAGCTACAGTGAAAAGAAAAGCGTGATGAAACTTAAGTTCATGTATTCTTCCTCAAGTGACCTGGACTTAGTGTGACTTATGCAGAGAAAGCTTGGGCCGTGTTTCCAATAGTGGGAGTGAACACTTAGCATTGCCCTCCACCCACAGCTCAGTCATCACATAGGAGCAGAATCAAAATGTCAGTTGCTAGGCTGTGCCTGCCACTTATGCCCAATGTTCCTCACTAAGCCCTTTGTCTTCCTGGACTAAGATCCTTAACCTTTGTCACATCACTGACTTGGAGCGTCTGCTCGATCACCTGGCAGAAGTGACGCCAGCTCTGGAGTACCTCAGCCTGCTGGGTAATGTTGCATGTCCCAATGAGCTGGTCAGCTTGGAAAAGGATGAGGAAGACTACAAGCGATACAGGTAAGTGACTTACGGTGGGAGACAGGGAAAATAGTGCCTTTGGTGGGTGACATCATACTGTGAGGTGGGTAGCTGACGTTTGTTAAATATCAGTGAACTTCCTATGACAGTGTTTAACGTCTACCTTTTGGAAACCTAAAGCCACTGATTCCCTTTGTTGAGGTCACAGGAGCCAAGAAGGATGCAAGCTGTTGGGTGGTCTAGGTCAGGGGTTGACAAAAAACAAACAAACAAACAAAAAAGTTTGTCAACCCCTGACCTAGACCACCCAACAGCTTGCATCCTTTTTTAATAAAGGGCCAAATACTAAGTATTTTAGGTTTTGTAAGTCGTGTGGATTCTATTGCAATTATTCAGCTCTGCTGTTTCAGGGAGAGGTAGCCATAAGTAATTTGTAAATAAATGAGCTTGACTCTGTTTCAATAAAACTTTATTTGTTAAAAAAAAAAGCAATAGGCCAGATTTGACCCAGGGCCTGTAGTGTGCTAACCTCTCCTCTATATTGTAAGGTCTTTCTGTGATCACTTTTTGGAGAGAAACCTCTCCAAAACTTAGGGAGCTCATGTACAATTCCAAAAGGAAGTCCTACAGGCCCATATTGCTCCTCTCTAAAACTAGGCACCAGAGTTCACTTTGCTGGGCTCCAAGTAAGAATGCTTCTCTTTATTCTCTGTTTTCATAAACCAACTGCTTTGAAACCCCTGATCCAAATCACCTCTCTTAGGAAAATTATCTTAATCTTATCTGTTTTACTAAATTCATTTTCTTTCCTCCTCATTTTAAACTCAATGTGCTCTCATTCTTGATTATTGCTTTATAAATATTTTAATGATCTTTTGTATATGTAGCTTCTTTCTCTATCATGAAATAGGCTCTCATTAATATACCACTTGAATTAATGTGAGAGGAAGGTGGGTAGGGGAGATAGATTTGGAAAGGCTTGGGAAAGAGCATAAAGATTTGAGAGGAACTTGTTCTTTTGGAACTTATATAACAATCTGTGGTCATGCATGGAGGAATGTAGTAGGGTCATTCATTTTGAATAAAGGGAATGCTATAAGAAATACTAAGTCTATTGAACATTGAAGATTTTTAAAAATACATACACATATAAGTAGGTTAGACTGCAGCAGAAATTCAGTTATATTTCTTTATACAAAGAATTTTGTACTGTTAACTTCATTTTCTAGGTTTCATGATTAATTTTGGAGAGGTTTTAGTCTATCCTTAAATTATCTTAGAATAAAACTCTAACCCTACTTTTTTTWWAAAAAAAAATGTAGTAAATCTTTCTCCATCATGAAGATTTTCATTTGGAATGTGATACTATACATCTGAACATGAGTTCTGCTACAAGTATGGTTAATGTACAGAAGGTAAATACTTAACACATTTCTGAATCATCACTTTAAGTTGTTTAATCACGTAGAACTTAATTCACTTCTGGAACCCTCTTAGCAATTTTGAAGTATTTAGTAGCCTGATTTCAGGTGTAAAGGGGTCACTTAAAACTTATTCAATCTTCTTAAAGATGTATCTTGGATGGTCAAGAGAGCCCACCAAATTTTCCCAAGTAAGTATTTTTAGTAAACCAAACACTGGTAAATTATCATTTGTTTTCTATTTTTTTTCCCAGATTTTACTAATTCTATAAAATAACCTAACAAAATTTAAATATGTATGTGTGTATGTATGTGCTCACTTATATGAGTCTGATATGAGTCTATGTGTCCATATCCATACATGTTCACTCATTTATTCATTCATTCATGGAATCAAAAATTATGTGTAACTCTAACTGCAGGCAAGCGTTTTTTTATTTATTTTTCCCAGAATGAGAGACGCAGCACGAGGGAAGTTTTCAGTTCCATGCTATTTGGTGTGATCTCAAACAGAGGCATATAAGGTTGTAAAATGAAAAAATAAAAATAAAAAGGCTAATACTATTATTTTGTTATTGTAACTGGTCATATAAGCAAAATGTGAAGACCCATAGTGTAGTGTAAGAGATCAGATCAGAAGATCTGACGTGAGGTCCATTTTTGGCAGTGGGAACCTTTATAATGCCGAGGACCATTTTGATCTGTGGTTCCTTATATGGCCTTTGAGTCATCTAAGGCATTCTCATTCATTTGGTGGCAAATCCAATAGAACCCTCCACTGGGAATTCTGATGTTTAATTGGCTCTAGCATTCTGAGACACTCTGCTCTCAAGCGGCTGCCATTGTCCTTTACCATCTCACATCATTTCAAAGATTCCCTCATGTATTTCCCTCACTATTATATGTACTTGAACATGTAGAGAATAGCTTCCAGTGGGTACGGGCTGGTCTTCCTTTCTTCTAAATCCTCATCAACACCCAATGTAGTGGTGAACATGGAAAAGGGCCTTTGTAACTGCAGGAGACAGTTTGAAATTACCTTTTCTGCTGAGGAGCTGAATATTAATAGGTAGAGGCAGGGACCTTTGGGTACCTTAGATGCCCACTGCCACTTGGGATCAGATCCATTTGGGAGTGACAAAGGCAGTTAACAAGCAAGAGACTGTCGTTCGGACTCAACCCAAGTCCTGATTATGGGTCATGATTCTTTGGGGAGGGCTTGATTCTATGTGAGTACTCTATCTCCTGGGCTAGCCTGGGCACCCTCCACGCCTGTCCTCTCCATCCCTGATCTGTTTCCCTAGAAGTAGTTGAGGGATGGCACTGGAAGGGCTGGCTGTTAATACACATATGCTAAAGTTGCCATGAGGGGCTGGATCTTAGAGCTTACATGCAGCCAAAATCACATCTGGTCAAAAGTTACCTTAGAAAATCCATACATCACCCATAACAATGGCAAGATGCTTACACTCTGAGAGAAGCAGTAACTAAGAACAGCAGAGGGAATGTTAAATGTGAGTCCATGGGGTTGCACATTCACTGCACAGCATTCTGATTGCAGAGTGGAATGGTAGGTCGATTCTCCAGCCCATTTAAGTTTTTTATTCATTTGTTTATTTATTTTTATTTTTCATTGTTGATTTGATAAGCACTCGCCCTTGGATGTGGAAGAGAGAAATGGATGCATGATGCAGTTCCATTCTTGTGGCCTGTGAGCCACTCTGATTTATTTATTCTGGAGTTTGTGCTCCATTTGCCCCTGAGAAATTTTAGGGTTTCACAATACGACTTTTGAATTCAGAGTTCCTGTGGCATTTGCATTTCTACAAAGCAATGCAGCTTTGTTTTTTTTTTTCCTTCTTTTGGTAAAATATTTCCCGGCCCTTCATCCACAAAGCGTGAGGTCTACCTTCTTTCTCACTGTTACCCACAGTCTAATAGTGGAGCCTCTATGTAAATTTATGTGACATTTTTCACTAGAAAATTGCTTAAAAATGAATGATATTTCTACAGTTTACTGTTTTTCACTTTAAGTACATTTTCTGACAATATGTCTTCTATTAATCATTTAAGCAATAGTAGGAGCCTTAAAGGAGTGTATTCAGAAGCAAGAACCCATGGTTCATTTAGTGCTGTCTAAAAAAATTTCTTATTGATTGGCATCCTCTGTGGTTATGTGATGTAATATTTATAATATGTCACCCAGCCATACATCAAAACAAGTGTGTCTGTTGTTTCATTTCCATGGGAGATGTTGATTTCAAAGGGGTCAGCCCCTTTTTAGGTCACATTGTGGCCAACCACTGGACCAGAAATGGGAAGTGACTAGATTTATGTAGCAATTGGCAATGGCATCACAGATCCTCGGGTTTCTGTCAAGTCTTTCCTCCCCTCCCCCTAGCCCACCCTTCTGGCTTCCTCACTTACCCCCCGTGCACCCAGTTGGATTTTCTTGGCACACATCCCCACAGTAAAACAGGCTCATTAAATTTCTATGTGAGCATGAACATACTGCCGAGTTGTTGAGTAGAGCCCTGGCCCTGCTGGGGGCAGGAGCGAAACCGTGCCTGGGGGTTCCCTTTGCCATTCATCATAGTTCATGGCTGAGAAATGTCCATTGCCACGTTACTATAGAGCTTAAGCCTGCCAAGTGCTTTGCTGTGTGGACACAGTGCTGTTGTTTGGGGATGAATATTGAATAGAAGTGAAGGTGGTCACAGCAGCCTTCGAGATTGGGGCAGGAAGAGAGCCTTGAGGCAAGTCATCTAGGCCTGGACCACCAAGGTGCTAAGAAACCACATGGGGCCTCTGTGGACACCCAACACCAGACACAGTAAGGAATCAAGTATGGGAAGCTTGGGTGCTATTGCTTATCTTCTCTTTCAGCCCTCTTCTTCCTCCTTTCTTTTCTGCAGAAAGAACAATGGCCCGAAGGTCAATAGTCCACAAGTGTTGGACTTCACATTTCAAACAAGGGGGTTAGGCTCKTGGCTCCCAGCTCCCTTCTGTTCACTGAACCTTTGTCATGAATTCTCTCCTGCTACTGCCCATCATAGGTCGAGCYTCTCCTTCCTCCCCCCTCCCCCGCACATCCCTCTGTATTCCTTACAACTTTAAATTATTTAGAATGTGACACCCTTTCTTTGTTCCCCAGTAGGGAGCAGCCCCTGGGGCCTGCCCAGTGTCTGTAGCACTCAGCCCAAGGGAGGGAGGGAGGGAGTCTGTACCATCTGTAGGCAGTCCTGGGCTGCCACCATTTCCCACCGAGTAGGGAGCTGTAAAACTTGTGGCTTACACAAGCCAGTTAGCATTCTCCAGCTAATCTACAATCTGGGCTTTGAAGATCACAAGAAAGCAAAGGTCACGACCCCGAGATCAAAGTGACAGAAGCCCACAGAGTAATTGCCGGTTACCCTCTGTAGAGGGCCTTGGACTGTCCTGTGGGTGTATTGTTTGCACAGAGACTTCAAACATGCTGCCRGTGAACTGTGAGGGAAATCAGCTGGCCTTTGCCAGTTGTCAGGCGTTCATTAATGCTGTAGGTGAGCTCACCTCGGCTCATTAGAGTGAGATCATTGTCATCTCTTTGAGCGTCTGGAGCTATTCCACTCACAGTGT